AAAGTGGAAGTCAGAAAAATTATTTTGGAAAACACAGATGCTGCATCTGGCTTGTTTTCATTATTTAGTCCAAAGCCCTGCATATTTGGAAACGTTTGAGACTTCAAATCTTTGGATTCTGTTTTTACCCCTGAGCCATAAAAGGCTGACAGGATTTCAAATTCGTACCATAGGTGCATCTGCTAAAAATCTCAGATGAGCACGAATCCTGGTGACCAAGGTAAAGTAAAGAGATGTCACGTTTTCTAAAAATCTTGTGAGTGTAATAAATCGAGAATAAGGTAATGTGGGGTTTTTGAAAATGATACCCTATGTGTATTTATTATGAGAATGAAGTGAAGCACTGGCGGCCGTCAGTATTTTTAATTTCAATTTCACACAGTGTCAACTTTTTCTGAACTGGGTTTGTAGAAAGTTGCTACATTTTACAAGCAGAACAGCATCTTAACGTCAGCACAGTAGCTGGGACAGAAGTCAATAACATACTAACAAGTCCTAGCACACTGTAGTTCATATTGTTATGTATGTTCTGTAAGGTTGAGCTTTTGAGGCTTTTGATTGAGTCAAGTTAGAACATTGAGGGTGGCAAATAATTTTAAACAGTAATGACTGACTTCCTCTTTTGCAGGATAAAAGGAGAAAGAACAAAACTGACTGCATTATGCAGTGTGATAGTCAGTGCATGTCTATATGTTCTTTCTGACAAGATAAAAACTAGTTTGCATGATTTATCTTAGCTGTTCAAAAGCTGGTTTCATTTCACTCAAACTTTTATTTAATTGTTTTTCTTTTACTTCACTGACATGTGGGGATCTTATTTCCTGATCTTAAGATTTTGATTTTTACAGTTTTAGTTTTACTCACAAATACTTATAGTTATTATACTTTTTATTTTTCAACTGTTTTGAACTCACAGATGTTAATAATCATAAATATAACTGTGGCTTTTTTTCAGGTGAGCTCTCTGGGTAGTTATTCCAAGACATGGGATCATCTTACAATCATCTTACATCTTACAACTTCTTTTAGAAATAAATCTAAAGGATTTGAGGTCAGAGTCAAGTTTTCATTTCCTGTTTCTAAATTGAAATGCTTAAGAAATGGAGGACTACAACAGCAGTTTGTTAATCATGATTCTATATTAGGAAGTAGATGAATGGGTCCAGTCAAAGTCCTGAGAGGGGAGACAACAACATAGTGATTACCATCCAAGTAGCCTACACCACCTAGTGGCGACAGTTGTGCTAGCCACTGAAAATGACTAATGCTGGAGGTTGCGTCGTGGTGCATGTGGGGTTTTGTTTTTTGGCACCACTTTGTTTTCCAATTTGTTTCCTTTTGCCAAATGGTGCACATTGGAGGACTATATCTTATGCAGAAGGTGCAATCTAAAAAAGATAGGAGACTGCAAGTTGGTGGCCACTGGTCTCCGACTTACTCAAATCAAATCAAATCAAATCACTTTTTATTGTCACATCACATGTGCAGGCACACTGGCACAGCACATGCGAGTGAAATTCTTGTGTGCGAGCCCCACAAGCAACAGAGATGTGCAAACACAACAACACAAACGAGCAAAATACAAGAATGGCCAACCTGAAACTAATAAATATATGTACAATAAATAATAGTGTATGCATTTCTGGATGTGTATACTAAATATTTTCCTACGTGTGTGTGTGTGTGTGTGTGTGTGTGTGTGTGTGTGTGTGTGTGTGTGTACACATTTTTACAAATTAAATAGTAAAAAAATAAAATAAAATAATAATAATAATAATAAAATATATAAAATATACAGAGTTGAATATGTGCAAAACAAGTGGCATTTATATACAGTGTGGAGTGCATAATGTTAAAGTTCCAGTAGTGAAGCTGAGGTGTCTATGAAGTGTTCAGCAGTCTGATGGCCTGATGGAAGAAGCTGTCTCTCAGTCTGCTGGTACGGGACCGGATGCTGCAGAACCTCCTTCCTGATGGAAGCAGTCTGAACAGTTTATGGCTGGGGTGACTGGAGTCCTTGATGATCCTCCCCGCTTTCCTCAGGCAGCGCTTCCTGTAGATGTCTTGGAGGGAGGGAAGCTCACCTCCAATTATCCGTTCAGAGCACCGCACTACTCGCTGGAGAGCTTTGCAGTTGTAGGCGGTGCTGTTGCCATACCAGGTGGTGATGCATCCAGTGAGGATGCTCTCAATGGCACAGTGATAGAAGGTCCTGAGGATGCGGGGGCTCATGCCGAATCTTTTCAGTCTCCTGAGAAAGAAGAGGCGCTGCTGCGCCTTCTTCACTGTTTTGTTTGTAAGATCCTCAGCCAGATGTACACCAAGGAACCGGAAGCTGCTCACTCTCTCCACAGCAGCGCCGTTGATGGTGATGGGGGTGTGTACTTCTCTGCACCTCCGGAAGTCCACTATCAACTCCTTTGTCTTTGCGACGTTGAGGGTGAGATGGTTGTCTTGACACCAGTGGGTCAGGGCGCTGACCTCCTCCCTGTAAGCCGTCTCATCACTGTTGGTGATAAGACCCACCACTGTAGTGTCGTCCGCAAACTTCACAATGATGTTGGAGCTGTTAGTGGCTGTCCAGTCGTAGGTGTAGAGTGAGTACAGGAGAGGGCTCAGTACACACCCCTGTGGAGCACCAGTGTTCAGTGTGATGGGGGATGAGGTGATGCTGCCCAGTCTGACCACCTGGCGTCTGTCAGACAGGAAGCTAAGGATCCAGCTGCAGAGGGAGCTGCTCAGTCCTAGATCCTGCAGTTTCCTGTCCAGCTTCGAGGGAACGATGGTATTGAATGCTGAGCTGTAATCTACAAACAGCATCCTCACATACGTGTCTCTCTTCTCCAGGTGTGACAGGGCAGTGTGTAGTGTCAGGGCTATGGCATCATCAGTGGACCTGTTGTGGCGGTATGCGAACTGTAGAGGGTCCAGTGAGTCGGGTAGTGCAGAGCAGATGAAGTCCCTGACCAGCTTCTCGAAGCATTTGCTTACGATGGGGGTCAGGGCTACAGGTCGCCAGTCGTTCAATGAGGAGATGGTGGAGGATTTGGGTACAGGGACGATGGTGGCCATTTTGAAGCAGGCTGGGACTACAGACAGAGAGAGGGAAAGGTTGAAGATGTGCGTGAACACTCCAGCCAGCTGAGCCGCGCATGACCTGAGGACGCGGCCGGGAATCCCGTCCGGACCAGTAGCTTTGCGTGCGTTCACCTTCCTGAAGCACTTCCGCACATCCTCCTCAGACACAGTGTGCGCACTGACGTCATCCGCGGTGCGCACACTGTCCGGTCTCATGGTGTTCGCTGTGTCGAATCTAGCGTAGAATACGTTTAGATCCTCACACAGAGAGGCCGTGGTCTGCGGTGTGCTGGTTTTCCCTCTAAAGTCTGTGATCGTGTTTAGTCCCTGCCACATACTCCGAGGGTTGTCAAATTGTTGTTCCACCCTGTCCCTGTACTCACGTTTGGCTGCTTTGATCGTCTTCCGGAGTTGGTAATGTGCGTGTTTGTAGTCCGATGTGTTCGCGGAGGCAAAGGCGGTGTTCCGTGCCGCCAGTGCCGCGCGAACATCTCCGTTAATCCAGGGTTTTTGATTTGGGAAGGATTTGACTGTTCTGGATGGGACGACATCTTCCACGCATTTCCTGATAAATCCACAGACTGAGTCTGTGTATTCATCAATGTCTCTGGCGGCCACGTGAAACATTTCCCAGTCCGCGTGATCAAAACAGTCCCGCAGCGCAGACTCCGATTGGTCCGTCCAACAGTGCACCGCCCTCCGGGTTGGAGCTTCCTGTTTCAGCTTCTGCCTGTAGGCGGGCAGGAGCAGGATGGAGCAGTGATCTGATTGGCCGAATGGGGCGCGGGGGAGGGCTTTGTACGCATCCCGGAAAGAGGTGTAACAGTGGTCGAGTTGCCGGTTTCCACGTGTTTAGAAAAGGATGTGTTGATGGAGTTTTGGTGAGACTTTCTTCAGGTTTCCCTTATTAAAGTCTCCGGCTGTGATAAACGCTGCCTCTGGGTGTGCGGTTTCCTCGCTGCTGATCGCGCTGTACAGTTCCCTGAGTGCACGGTCAGTGTCGGCTTGTGGGGGAATGTAAACAGCCGTAATAATCACTGCTGTAAATTCCCTCGGTAGCCAGAATGGCCGGCACTTAATCATCAGGTTACTCCCTTCCTGCCCATCTTCCAGTGTGATCCTGATGCCTCTGTCGCATCTTGTACCCTGCTGTTATGTGCTGGATTGTGTCAGGGGCATCTCTGCACACTCCGATTCCATTATCAATATCACATCCACAGAGAGTTCTGTGTTAGGACCAATTCTGTTTACATTATACATGCTTCCTTTAGGCAGTATCATCAGAAGGCATAGTGGGAACATTTTGGACCATGTTTGACCTTCGGCAAATCAGATCACTCCTCGGTTCTGCTGCAAGCTGAAAAGTGAGCAGCCATGTCGCGTTCGGTTCAATACTGGACCGACCAATCAGACAGCGCCCCACGTCACTGCTTCAGCATCACAGACTGGGAAGTCTTCCGGACTGCCGCTGACAACAACATCAACAATTATGCTGAGTATGTAACAGACTTTATTTACAAATGAAAATGCATCAATGACGTCATACCACAGGCAAATGTACGAACTTACCCCAACCAGAAGCCGTGGGTTAAAGGAGAGGTCCGTGCAGCACTCAGAGCGTGAACTACCGCCTTTAAACCCAGAGACCCAGGTGAATACAAAACATCCCAGTATGCACTCAGGAAAGCAATGCAGGGGACAGGTGAAAAGAAAGAAAACAAAGAAAGAAAACAAAGAAAAGATGGAATTCTGCTACAGCCCTGATACCATGGTGCTGCGACAACAAAACCAAGGAGCGCATCGAGGATTACAGGAGACTTCAGAGAGGAGGTCACACCTCCATCCACATCGAAAGAGCAGAGGTGGAGAGAGTCAGCTGCTTTAGATTCCTAGGTATCAACAACAGCGAGAATCTGAGTTGGTCACACCATGTTGGTGTTATCACAAAAGCAGCAAGACAGCAGTTCTTCTTCCTGCGGCGCCTGAGAAGATTCGGCATGAACTCCAGAATACTTAAAAACTTCTACTGATGCACCATTGAAAGTATTCTGACTGGCTGCATCACCACCAGGTGTGCAGCTGTAACGCTCCGCACTGCAAAGCTCTGCAAAGAGTGGGGAGATCAGCACAGCGCATCACCAGGTCTGAATTGCCAGCGATGCAGGATCAGCAGACAGACAGCGCTGCATGAGGAAGATGTAGCCGATCCGGATTTTTTTCTATAACTGCACACTTCTATATGTTCACGTAAAGCTGAGGAGCACGAACCAAAGAATTTCATTACGGGTAAATGTGGCTACACTGTTTATTTGTATATGACAATAAAACTTGTAACTTGATACATTTTAACTGGTATCCAGATGACATCACATTTTATTTGTCCTTCAGCTTTCAGCCCCCTATTTTGTGGAACCAGCTCCCAGTTTGGATTCAGGAGACAGACATTATCTCTACTTTTAATATTAGGCTTAAAACTTCTCTTTGTGCTAAAGCATATAGTTAGGGCTGGATCAGGTGACCCTGAATCCTCCTCTAACTTTGATACAATAGGTGTAGGCTGCTGTGGCATTCCCATGATGCATTGAGTATTTCTACTTCAGTGATCTTTCTCTTTCACTTTCTGTCTATACACCTCACTGCATTAATATTATTATTAATATGTGGCCTTCTTCATCCTCTACCAGAGGGTGGTGCTGTCCTTGGTTGGAATAGGAAGAAGCCTTCTATACAGTTGGATTCTTGATCCATTCTATGTGCTACAGATGAGGGGCTGGTGTTGCTGTTGCTGTAAGGACAAAGGCTTGCTGTCGTCATCTTCAAAATGTTTTTCTAATGCGGTCTCTTTTTGCTGCTTTGTGGGTGGTGTCTGGAATTATATAAACATGCTGAAGTTTAAAATGGGAGACAAAAAATACAACTTTAGAGTAAAAAAGAGATTAACTATGAATGAGATCTATATATGTAAATATGAATACTTGGAAAGGCAGGTGCCTTTCATGATGGTTCCTCTTCCTGCACCATTTCTTTCTCAGGTTTCTGCTGCCTGAGGTATTCACTAAGTAGGTCAGCTGTGGCCATCTTCCTGATGTATTCATGGATGTTTGTATTTTCATCCTGGATGGTGGTTCTGACACTCACCAGTCCTCAGACCCCTTCCTTCCACTTAGTGTACAGTCTCAGGGTGCTGGACTTGGTGAAACCCTGCATGCATTATAAGGAGCTTTCTTGTCTTGATACCAGTGGCTTATGTCTCCTCGTTTGGCCACCTGGTTTTTGATGAGTGGTAGGTTATAGGTATCGATCGCCTGGATTCATTTGTGTGCAATTTTTCCTTCTAGTAGTGCAATCCCCTCAGTTCTGACTACTTTCTCTTTGTTATCATCCAACTACACTTCTCTAGCACAAATCACATTTTGGTGTGATTGCTTGGGGTTCAAGCCGTGGTTGCATATTGCCTTTGATTTCGTCACTGCCTTACCTGTCTCCTCTGGTAAATCTGTGATCCTTTCTGTCATTGTCAAATGAAAACCAACCAAAAGACAATTCACTTACCTAACCTTCTAAACAAAAAATCCTAACTGAGCTCCTAGAAGAACTCCTGTCTTGTCTGGTCTTCTCCAGACAAGACAGTAAAACTGTTTTATCTACAGTTTTACTTTGTAATATTGTTCATACTTGTGCCCACGTAGCCTGTCTGGAGTGATCCTTTGCCCGTGGATTGTGCTGGTTGTGTGTGTGTGTGTGTGTGTCTGTTTGTGTGCGTGCGTTTAAGTGGTTTCTTTTTTTAATTAAATTTTGAAATATACATAGTCCTTTGTCAGTGTGTACAATGCTGGTGTTCGGTGTACTTTAAGGTTTTTGTGACCTTTAATGAGTTTTGTTTTTGTTTTTATTGCAGTGAACTGAGGACATACCAGTAGCTGTGGGACCTCCGGTGGTGAATCGTTTTCCACACTTCCGTTGTTGTACAGCACCTGGGGTGTAGACTTGATTTTACATGTGAGTTTCGTTTGGTCCTCAGCTCCTGGTAAGTCCAGTTCAATATATAGTTTTATTTAATTTAGCAAACTATCACAGAATGGGCTGTACCACAGTCAACTTTTGTTGTTTTATTCCTTGTTTTTATTTTTACAAATATAATTGAAGATATATTAATAATAGAGCCAGTCTGCCTCTGTTGTGCATCTTTGAACGTGTGTAATCGTTTTCTGGTTTTAAAAACACTGTATTTCATGGGGGTGAAATTCCCCGAGGTTGCGTTGTCATGTTTTACTTTTTCAAATAACCTCATTGACCACTTTGTCACACTGGCAACCTGGCCCTGATATCTCCCCTGGGTAGAGTATGCTCACATGTCAGGGAGTTTTTATTGTTTTATTTGCTTATGCTTCAAAAGTTATGTTATACATATTTCACCAGACACAGTTTTCTGAGCCTGTGACACTGACAAGAGACCAGCACAGAAATACATATCCGCAGAAGTTGACTTGCATTATATTATTCTTAGAAATTGACCTGCAACACACATACTCTGTGACACACACACACACACACAGCTTGCATGCAGACAGACATCAGGACCTGCGTGACAGGAAATGTGATTATATTTGCATATTGACGATGTAACCTATAAAAATAAACGAATACTGCAGTTCGGTGTGATTTGCTCTGAGCTTTTCACCCGTGCAGCACGTTAACCTACACAAGTGTCTCATTGTTGTTTATTCACCTGACTGTTTGTTAACTGTAAATCTCTGACATCACAGTTCACTCAAATCAAATCAAATCACTTTTATTGTCACATCACATGTGCAGGTACATTGGTACAGCACATGTGAGTGAAATTCTTGTGTCACCTCATCCTCCATTGGTCTCTCTCCTTTTGAATGACTTGGGAGGCACTGCCAAAAGCAGTTGACCATTAGTGTTTTTATGCACACTGATTACATACATTAGCTCCCAGGCACACTGCAGGACAACATGAATGGCTATCTGTCAAGGACATTCCCCTAAAATCTCTCTTCCACAGGCTATCCCCACGCTACATTGGTCCCTATGAACTTGGGGCCGTAATAAGCAGTCAGATTAAAGTTCCCTATGTCCATGTGAATTCATCCTACATGTATCTCAGGTCAAGCCAGTGCTCCCCAGTCTATTGTAGGAGGGAGAAGTAGGATGAGCACACACACACACACCATTATTCAACATCACAGTAAAAAGTGTCAACATTTGCATGCTTGAATGGTAAACGCTCCTCCTCGTGGACGAATATAAAAATTAAGAGCAAGTATACCAAAATAAAATTTTAATATAAAGGAATATATTAGATGAGATTAAGATAAATGTGTGATCAAAAATGGCATTTTCAGTGATTTTCAACGGGATATTTTTTGTCATTAAGAATAAATGTGTCAGTTTGTGTGAGTTGAAACAGCTTCACATATAACTCAGTTTACGATCATCAATTCTCAACTGACTGAATGACCACACATGCGCCATGATGTATTTATGCAGGCAAATTTGGTATATCAGTGTAACAGGCAAAAGAAGAAGTTTTTCCTAACAATCACTTCAACAATCCAAATAATATAGTTACTTTCCACTGTTAATGATAAACTATAAATTTACCCCCAAATCCTAAAATATTGAAGATTCTATTAAATCAAACAGACCAAATTTAAAGTATAATGAAGATTTGGAGGAATACCTTTATCCACTTCATTATGATACTATAAAAATAACATGCTTTTACTGAAGACTAACCAAAACTTTAATGCTTTGCCACAATTTGTGTTTCTTAACTCACTTTCCAGAACTAATCAGTTAAATCAACATTCCACTGACCAATCACATTATAATGCAGGGACAAAACCAACATAGGGATATCAGGTATACAAAAAAACTGCATGAAGAGCTGGCTCTGTCCTCGGGTTTTTGGTTTTCTTTCTAAATTAAGTTAAGATTCTATCTTTGTAGAACTGAACATACAGCAAAGCTAAGAAATAAAATATTTCTTAATATTACCTAACCAGCTGTGTGCTGCCAGAGATTAAAACTCACCAGCAGGTGGTGCTATTGTATTTTTCGGGTCATAGTTGCAGTAACCAATCAGGACTTGGCAGAGCCAGGATCAGAAAGTAATTCTCACATGTGCCGTCTTGATTGAACAGTCTCTTTGAACCCAACTCTATCCTTATGTGTTATTTCATGGCTGTAAGTATGTTATGTTTTGTTTTGTTTTTTTTACTTTATGTACATTTGTGAATTGTGTGAATGGATTCAGGCACAGACTCGAGCTCTTTGGAGAAAGAGTTCACAAGTTTATTTACAAAACTAATGTCCAGAATGTCTGTGAAGGTTCTCAGTCATCCAGGTCATCGTAGTCAAAGGAGCTTGCAAAGAAAGAGGCGGTGGTTTATGACACCAACTGTCTGCCATCTATAATCCAGTTTTGAGTTCCCTCCCCAGACGCCTTAACGACCACTCACATCCTGGGCCATCTGACCTCAGAAATTCGCATTTTGTTCTTTCTGTTTATATCCTGTAAAAGAGGAAGTCAGTCAATACTGTTTCTTGAAAGTCTAAAATGACTCCGTCACTCTGAGAATAAGTTTTCTAACTTCCCTCATTCAAAACCTAAGGTTACAGAATATAATTACTAACTTCAAGTATGAATGTCACATTGTATCATCAGTTAATATTTACAAGCTACACCACCACAAGATGCAGGGAGAATACATAGTACAGGTGCTTTAGGTCAATTAGTTTTAGTTGCAAAGCTGCTATAGACATGAAATTATGGGCTAATTATAAAAAAAAATGCAAGAATAATACTGTCCTGTGATAGATGAAGTCAGAAAGGTCTTAAGTCTGCAATTACTCAAGCCCAAGCACTTTTTTATTAACGTTGGTTATTCGAAATGTGCATAACATTTTACAGAATACACATCACTCAGTACGAGTATCACATTGTATCTGTAAGCTTTGGATGCACAAGTATTGTGAAGTTGTCACTACTGTTGCCTCTCAGCCCAACACACAACATTTTAGGTCAATAAATGCAAAAAGAGAATTTTATGTTTCAATTACGTGCAAAGCTTGTTA